GTAATTCTCATACATTTCGCCATGAAATTCAAGAGACTGCATTCTGGGCTAACAAGCAACTAATCGGTCGACTTCTTCACGCTTCCGAAAATCTTCCACCGCCTTACTTGTATTACGATCTCTTTTTATCATTTTGCGCAAATTAGTACAGTGCTGGCCAAAACTACAGGGTGTCCCAAGAAAATGTGCACACTGTTTGCGTTAAGAACTCGCTTGCTTCGATGTCTTTCGCCGATCTTTGGGTACCATTCTAAAGAGCAAGGTTGAACTTAGATTTACAGTTTGAAGCGAAACTCCGACCTGCATTCGTTACTGTAGGATTAAAGTAGGAACTTTGAAGAAGGTTTCAAGCCATAAGAGTCGCATTTCGCCACGGAGAGGGGACCAAAGAAGCAGAAACTTTGATACTAAGCTAATTAGAGTCGCTGATTATCATGCTTCGTTCACAAGTTATTTCAGGAAAACAGTAACAGTAACAACCGCACTCAATGTTCTTTGAAAATGTATTAGGTTGTAAAGAAAGTTCCCTTGCACTTTTGGAAATTTCATTTTCAAACGCATTTTTTCGGTGCTCGGTCGGACTTCAACACCAAGTTTTTTATACTGTTCAGTAGAGGAAAGCCTAAAGTTTACAAAACGTCTTCTTTCTTATCGATGCCAGACGTGTTTGATTTGCACATCAAGAAGAAAAATCTTTCCAACCATAAAAATCTCACAATCTTTCTTCCTACGGCCATTTTTTTTAGCAGTTCAAATAATTTCGTTCAAATCATGCTTGATCTGATTAAGAAGCCTGTCAAATTCTGATCCGCAGCTGCACTCGAGTTTTGCGATTTGTGCTCGAAAAATATAAGCTGTTGAACTTACCTCTGACTGCAACTCTTTTCGCAGCTGGCGTCGCTTCTGCGGGGACCGCCGCGCTTGATGGTGGGTCTAAAAGATGTGTAAGGCATTACACCAACAATGTTCGCAGTAATCAAAGATTTCCTTTGCCCTGTGCGGAACTAGAAGACTTCAAAGTCACTCGAAAAATGGTGCATGTTTGGGGGCAAAAAATGGTAGATTTTTCAAAATTTCTGGAAAAACTATTCATGCAGGTAGTCGCTCAAAGACATAAAAACTTCTCCATAACAGCCTCGGCAGACTTCTACATAACCACAGCATTCGAATTCTCCAGCTTTCATCGTGCCTGAGATAATCCTGCACAAATAGGTCACTTTTCGCGATGACCTTTTTTTCTTCTACGCTGATGGACCGCAGTAAGGTGCTGAAAACCAGCAAGACAAATATATGTTGTGGACCACCTTGCTACACAAATTTCCAGAGTTTTTTGGAATTTTTTTTATTGAACGTTCTATTTCACAATGGTGCTGTGTGCTAAAAGTTCATACCGTAAGCATACAGTAGCGAAAAAGATCGGAGTTTCGCTTCACACTGTAAGTCTAATTTGAACCTTGCTCTACAGAGATGGTACCTAAAGGTCGGCGAAAGGCACCAGCAAGGAAGTTATTAACGATTAAACAGTGTGCACATTTTTTTTTGAGACACCCTGTATAATTCTAGTAAATGCCGTAAGTTGGTCGGGGTTGTTAATGATTAGGTCTAGAATTGGTACGACTGTGTATACACCAGCCTAAAGTCACTGACATAAAAATCCTCGCTTCTTTTCGATCATATAAGGAAGAATCAGAAGTTTTGAAAAAAAGTGATAAGGGATGGCCAAATTCAGACAAGGCTAAAAGTGCAGGTTTCTACTTTACAAATTGTTTCATGGCTTGAATTTTTACACAGTTTCATCCGCAGCTTCGTGTATGCTTTAGTTGAGTTGTGCCATACCTTATAAAGAAGCTGTTATTCTAACTTTTAGCTTAAACATACTTCAAAATCATTTCGCTTCTGAAACCTTTGCTTGAGCGGAAAGTGTTGCAATTTCTCAATTGATGCGGATAGCAACGCGATTCCATCTATCCTTCTGATGCTAGACGGCATGAGCACTGCAAGAAATTTCATTTCTTACTGGTTCAAACCCAACAACAAAATACGCAGGCCTTTGCTCGAATTTCGGCCTCTGAAACTCTTTTTGGGTCATTGCTGTAGGCTCAAAACAAAAACAAACCATTTTTTACACAAAAAGAAAAAAAAAGAAAACTGTGCACTGTAGACTCGGATATCCACAATGCTGTACTTCTTTTTGCTTGGCCCATCTCTTCAGTGTCCGCCGAGAAAATGCAAAACTTCCCATTTGATCACAGACTGCATGCAGGTGCGAAGTTAGTGTGAAAGTATTTTCAAGGCAGAAAAAAAACGGTAAGGTCTTTTTTGACGGTTTTTAGCTCCGATTACGGCGTTGTGCCGAAATGTCAGGCAATAAAGTGTTTGCGATAATAATCTGTACGGCAGAAGCAAAGTATTGGAACCAATAAGATATCTGTTTCTTTTGAAGTTATGGCATAGCTCGAGTAATGCAGGTCCAGAAAAAAGCAGACAAAAAAGTTGAAAATCTTGCATTGTTTATTTTGACCTTCTGCAAAAGTGCAACCTATTATCAAAAAACATCAAAACTTTCCCCACAAATCGTTTTGCAGATAGCGAAAACAGGTTTAAGATCAGATGTTGTTAGGCAATTGGATTTATCGCACGTGAAGAGGCGGTGGTGACCTCGGGTCATTCCCTTGTATGCTGAAATTTCAGAGATTTACAGGATCTTGCTCAAAATTTTGACCTGACAATTTTTGTAGGCACAAATTGAGCGCGGCGAGAGTCGCGGTGTGACTCCTGACCAGGGTTGAGCAAGAGGTCAGGCACAAGTCCTTCAAAAACGACCCCCCTCCCCTATGAAAGCCCCTAAACGACCCTCCGCTTCACCTCCAAGTCCTTAGGGGTTTTATTTTGAAGAAGACCAGCCTTCACTGCAGGTTTTTATTTTTTGAAAGTTTGTAGGCCCGACTTTTTGCGAGTGCACAGCACACGCAACCTGACGGCAAGTTTTAGATCTGGATATTCCTCTTTTCAGAGCTATAATTTTCACAGGGGTGGAGTGTTTGGCTTCAAATCTTCAATATAGCAAGAAGAGGCTTTGCGCACAATACTCATATCAAAAAAGGGGCGATTTTTGAATGCTGAAGGCAAGTTAATGGGGTCAGGCGCACCCTCAAAAGCTCAGGCGGCCTGACCTTTTGACGGGTTGCGCCTGACCCCATTAACTTTATTTCCGAAAAAGCTTTTCTATCCAAGTTTTATGTGATTCGCTAGCTCAATCCTCGAAGATTCCACAGTAAGTGTTTGAGCTTGATTCGACTTGTTTCGGCCTTGTTCTAATCCGAGAAGTTGAAGCACTCAACGTGAAAAACGCGCCGGTTGCAATTTTGGCAGCACTTCTTACTTCGTTGTTTGAAAGCGATATGAAGTCCGATTTGTAGCATAGACTTATAGAGAACGCTACTTTGTTATGAGTATACAAACGCTTGTAGAGCGCATAGAGGTAATTTGACATGCTGATTATGAAAATGACACCCATTTCACACAGCAAGCTTCCTTGTTTACCTCATATGTTAGGATAAATGAGAAGAAGATTTGAATTTTGGCTGAAACAATCACTGTGGAAACAATCAGTATGCCGTTGCTATGACCAGGGTTGAGCAAGAGGTCAGGCGCAAGGCCGCCAAATACGACCCCCCCCCATGGCCGTGCTAGATACGACCCCCCCCCCCCTTCCCCCCCCCCCCCGTAGCTCGCAGGTTTTTCTCTGTGTAAGGGACCCGTCATACTTCGCCGAAAAAAGCCCAAAAGCGCCCAAAAAAGTCCGGAAAAGCCGAAAAAAAAGCCCGGAAAAGCCCAAAAGCGCCAGAAAGAGCAGGAACGAACGCATAATGTTGGTTTCGCAACGAATCTTTTTGCTCCATTTTCTGATGTCTGCACGTAAAAATAACGTTAAAATTCGACCATAATTTCGTTTCTGCTTTCCTGCGCTTTCGGGCTTTTTTGGTTTTTTTCGGGCTTTTTTGAACGCTTTTGGGCTTGTTTTCAATTCTTATATCACACATCATTATCAGAACATATTCATATTTATTAAACAAAAGAAATTTCAGATGTACCTTTTACATTCAGAAAAAAACTTTTACATACAGAAAAAAAACTTTTACATAAGAAAAAAAACATCTTTTACCGAAAAAAAAACAACGCAACATTGACAAAAAAAACATCTCTACTGGATGGTGACGCTTTGAGTGCAGGGCTGGTCCTTGCATCTTCATTTTAGGCTCATCGCTTTACAGTCTTCGCAGACCTAGTCCTTTGACCTTACGACTTTGAAGAAGTGGCTCTGAACAAAAAAAATCTATGAGAAACTACCGGGTATAGAAGCGTACAAAAAAGGATGCTACCAAAACCTTGAGTAGCTTCTGCGCGTTAATTACTAAATGATTGCATTTTTAATTAAAGAATACCAGCAAAGTGGAGGAAAAAGATGTAAGCAAGTATCGATAGAGGATTAAAGGCAGCGTCCAGGCAGATCTGGACCTATGGGGCTTTTACGTGGAAAGTACTTTTGGGGCCCTAACTAAGGCACTGCCCAAGCGGCAGCTCAAGTAGTGCTGTAATGGCTGAGATATTCTCCTCGAAACTGGCTTCCGCGACCGTGTTTCGCATGGGTTCATGGCGCAAAGCGTGGATCCTGGCGCGAAACTGCCATGAATCCATGCGAATACGATCGCGGGGTCCAGTTTCGAGGGGAATATCTCAGCCGTTAGAGCACTACCTGCGCTGCCGCTTGGGCAGTGCCTTAGTTAGGGCCCCCATAGGTCCAGATCTGCCTGGACGCTGCCTTTTAGGATCAGATAGTTAACCCGAGGGTAGAAAAAAGTATAAAAATAAAAAGCGAGGGAAGTGTTAGCATTGCAATCTGAGCAACAAGCGTACTCAACAGTCAAATGTGAAATTGTGTCATTTAACAGAATTCAAAAAAATTTACCTCCCAGTTTCATCAACGGGGCATACAATTTTCATGTCCTTGGTGATGATTCCATTTTCAAGGCAAACTTGGTAGTCAATCTGGAAAAATCTGGTTGAGAATTCGTTCTACTCTGAGCGGCGATTACACAACGCAGATTGTCATATTATGTAAATCACCTATACCTTTGCTTTGCAGTACCTTCATTGCAAAAGTTAGGTCGAGGTAAGCCAAAGCAACGTACAAGGAGACAAATACAGAATCGAATGTCATGCTAACCTCTCCAAAATATGGAGCTTGATGTACAATACCAGTTCCTTGATCTGTGGTGACAAATGTATTGCAAAGCCGCGGAACGCATTCCTCTCCTTTTTCATGTATGTGAAGTAAGGAAATAGCGGCTCATAGCTTTTTCCTTCAAATGTGCGCCCCTTGACCTGTAGACAATCTTGCTCAGTCACGAAAATATGGCGCCTTACTATAGCTGTTACCTTCTCCAAAACCACAAGGTTGTCATTCTTCAGCTCACACAAGCGTTCTTCCATAACCACATACTCAGCATCAGTTGCAGGATCTAAACAAGAGAGATGCGTCAAGATCCAGCATGTGAGCATTTTTCTGATTACGCTTGTTCTGAATTGATGACGGATTTGGCGCAAAGTTCACGTTTTGTTGTTTTTGCAATTCACGCGATATGACGAGTAAGAGGATCTATGCTTTGCGCAAAATACGTTATAGGGCACAAGTTATGAGTGACTATCATAATGTAAAACTTGAAACTGGTAAAAATCAAATTCATGGCAAAAGATACCTTTTACTAAAGGTAGTCCAAGTCAGGATGTAAACACAATGCGAGGTTACTGGGAAGAGTCCAAGGAGTTGTAGTCCATGCCACCATTAGACGCTTCGGGTTTTCATCAAGTCGGAACCCAATGCAGACTAAAACATGCACAGAACGGATACGGATTGCTGTTAGGAGAAAGCACCATGGATATTGTTCGACGAGACAAATAAGAACCTACCAGCGGGATCCACAACATCTTTGTAATTCTGCCCAGCCTAAAAGTTCGAGAGAGGAGTAGTGCAAGAAGTAGAGTATGGCATCACCTTGAAATCGCGATTTACGATGAACATTTGAGCGCATTATCACCCACTTAATCTTATACTCGTATAAAGTTGAGATGACTTGATCTATGACTTACTTTTACGCCCCTGTAGACTAGTCCTTTTTTGAACAATTCGCTGAAAGCCCACCATACGCTTTCCATAAACCAAGGATAAAGAGTTTTGTAATCATTCTTGAAGTCAATCCAACGTCCCATGCGAGCAACAGTTGTCTCCCATTCCTGAAGTGAACCTTTAAGCTTCCAAAGAGGCAACAAAAGGGTATGACACAAAGCTGCAAGCAGTTAATACATCGCATAGACTAGTACTACAAATCGGCCCTGCCTAATAGGCGCTGAATCTTCAGGTTAGATGAGATCCATCAGTTACTAAGCTACGCTTGTCTTTCCCAAATAGACGACTCCCAAATGTTCGTTAAGACGAGAACTTAAGCTGAGTTCAAATGTTGACAGTGAGGTTCAGATCAAAAACATGATGGATTCGGAAGTACCAAACAATATGGATTCTGACAAAAGTTTTCTGTAGATCTTCGCAAGCAAAGCCAAACATACATGAGAATACCGCATGACGATACTTCGACATTCTGCGTTATACTTTCCAATTCCCATTTCTAGTATGTCATTAGGTCCCTTGACACCCAAAGTTTTGTCGACTTCATACTCCTGTAAGAAAAACATTTATATTTAGATATAAAAACAAATTATATGCTGAGATACGTGACGATTTACTCACAACGGGAAGTCCATGCGTGTCCCATCCAAATCTGCGCTCGACATAGAAACCATTTTGATGTGCCCATCTTGTTACCACATCCTGGGTGACGTGTTTTCGTACAAAACTCAAAAATAGAAGAAAATAGATTATCATCATTACCTTAATGGTTCCAGCAAGAATGTGCCCGTAATGTGGAAGGCCGGTATCGAAAGGAGGACCATCGAAAAAGGTATATCGTGGTCTGTCGGCTGATAATCTGAACAGTAAACATAGAGCGATAAATAAGGTGTACTCAAGCTTATACTTCAAGACATACTTGAGGGATTTCCCAAAAACCTTATTCTCATTCCAGCACTTCAAAGTTTTCTGTTCCTCGGCAGGAAAGTTGATGTTATCTGGGACTGTGGTGAGCCCACTCATTGATTACCTGAAAAAAACTGAGTATTTATTACGCTTTGTACACATAGATATGGATCCTGCGGAAGAGAGCAAGAGAGGCGATTTCTGCGGCTGTCACCAATTCATAACACCGAAAAAAAATGCATTTCCCAGCTGTATGAAGTCAGCTCTAATGGCCTGAGTACTGCTTATAGAGACATCACTCAAGCAGCGCGAATTAGAGTCATTCTAACACATTCATGACAATACGACCTATCAGGGGGTCGTACGCGGACACATTGCACACCCAGGCAGGCAGAACAGAATCGGAACGTACAGATAGAACTATAGCGAACGAAAACTCCACGACTAGCTTAAAAAACCGCATCCATGCAAAAAAATCCAAAAAATCCATGCATAATACAGGTCCTAGGTGTCCTCGGAAAGTGTAAACCGGCTCTATTTCAGTCGTACCTCCTGCAGAGGTTCGATAAGAACTCATAGATTGATAATGAACACTGCTAAAAGCACACCCGATTTCTCTTTGGTCCCATCAAGATTCCATAGTTTTGCTGTTCCATCCTCTCCAGCGGTGATTAGCACTGGTTCAACAGGGTGGAACTAAACAGAAACTGGTTGCATTCGGACCAGGCTAACACGAATTGAAGAAGAAGACTCAAGTGATATTTTTTACGGAACTGATAAGGGAAGAACGAACCTGCATAGCTCTAATTGAATCAAGATGTGAACGTAAAGTCATCTTTACATTCCACTTTGCTGTCCTTGGCGATTCTTCATCATCCTGAAAAACGAAAAGAAATTCGTAAAAGCGCGCAGTAAGAAACTTTTACAAAAGGGTCTTCATCACAGCTTGACCCACTATAAAGCAAATATGTTAGTCAAAGAGTAGTTTTACTAGGATAACTTTCAGACCAAGATAAGCAAAGGTCAAATAACAAGGCAATAAGCAAGTGAAGAGACAAAAATCACTGCGCAATACTTGCCTCCACTATGAAGATCTTTGATATCGATATTATCGTCCGGCACTACCTCCAGATGACTGCTCGTGAAGAAATTCGTCAAATTTCTCTAGTACATCAGCAGCCTCCGAATCAGGACCTCCTCGAGGGGCATTGCGCTCATCGGACTCGGAGTCGCTGGAAAAAGAAAGTATGGAAAAAATAATAGGAAGAATGAACGTGGTGAGCTGGCGGCAGGGACGAAACAGTCGAACGACCGAGTCGAAAAATGCATTTTGGCGCGTTTCGCAATCCCGTGCAGAAACACTGCACGGGATGCGTATTACAGTAAGACGAATTTAATGGAGCAAAAGGCGACGATCGCCTTTAGTGGAAGAGTGGGATTAACCACTGACAACTTTTTGGAGAGATGATGAAATTGTATAAAATTTTGGGTATGGGGAGAGGAAGGATCAATCAACAGTTTGAGTGAGAAAGTGGAAAGTTTTGAGGTGTCCCCTCAAAACTTAATGGGGTCAGGCGCAACCCCTCAAAAGCTCAGGCGGCCTGAGCTTTTGAGGGGTTGCGCCTGACCCCATTAACTTCATCTCAAAGGCGACTTTTTTGAATAAGTCCGAAATGATTAGTTAGCACAAACATCGTAGTTGTGATAGTAGGTGTGTGAAATAGATTCGTCTTGTTTTGGCTTTCTAGCAGCTCATGCAGTAAATCCAGTCGAGGTGAAAAACGTGATTGTCGAAATTTTTATGGGGCTTATAAAACCATTACTTCAGAATGGTTTAAGACGAAATTGTTAGGGTACATTAGTGAAGAGTAATACTTTGTAACAAGTGTGAAAAGGTTGACTTTTGTGATCGTTGAAATCAAGTTAATCATGCTTGAAAACAGCGCCTTCCATACTTTACAGAAGATGGAAAATTGTGATAGGAAGTTATAAAAAGAGTCCACAAAGGGTTATTTTGCATCCTGATTACGAAAATAGCATCCACTTCGCTGGTATGAGCCCTGGTGGGGTTACGGTAGGTATACGGTAGTTGGATAGATCCTGTCAGATCAATCTAACTGTGCTGTTTTTGTACCTGTCCAATGCACCAACAAAATTTATTAGCAATCAACCATTATATAATCCTTGTTTCTGTCAGCCTCTATACTAGGATGAGAGAGATGAACTCCACTCGATGGCTCGGCATTGGAGAATCTCCTCGAGAGCATGGCTTCCATTCTTTCAGTGCCTAAAAAAGTACATTTTTGCGCACATGTCCAATCATATCTGCGATTATTCTACTAACCTGTATGGATTAGTCGCTTTCGTCTGACCACACACCTGCCTCCCCGTCCTCTTCAATCTCACGCTCTCAGTTTCCGATGAATTTGGACTATCCAGCTGCTCGCGATGAAATGGTATGTATTCTGGCTCTGGTAGGAGCCTTTCCCACGGATTATGCCGTGGTTGCGGTTCTTCTGGCAGCGGAAACTGCAAAAAATTTGTTCCATGGGAAAGTACTTCATGCTATCAACTCCTTCGTCTATCCATATAAGCGGGAGTGTGGGGTGCGTCAAGCCACCGAATTCGCTGTAGTGGTCTACCAATGTCTCCTGCTCACTGCAATTTCCACAACAGCACGCGATCTCTGCCGTGGTATTTTTGTGCAATTGCATTGCGCGAAAGGCCTGCGGCCAATGTCTATATTTTCTGTCGGATCACCCACAAAACCAGAATGAATAAATATTTTATTTCGCATTCAGTGTTGATGTATTTGAATCTTTATTTTTCTTTACTAGCTCGAACTTCGCAAAAATCAAACAATGAGTTTGTTATATATAAAATCATGATATTTGTAATCAAATCCTTTGTGCAGCCGTCCGAACACCTGCAAAGAGCAAATTAAGAAAAGAGTTCATTTTCTTGCTCAATAACAATGTTCGTAACTTCCTCACCTTAGCTAAAATAACCGGAACTAAATAAAGGCAACGGTAATGAAGAGAGATGACTTTTCTTAGCACTGCACCTGGAAAAAAGTGCTGCATTTTATAGGTTTTGGACGATTTATGATCCTACCCCCCAAATACGACCCCCCCCCCGGTTCCACCCCTAATACGACCCCCCAGGTCAGGCGCGCCTGACCCCACGCTCAACCCTGGCTATGACCATTCTCCTTCAAGTGATCGCGCTATCCACAGGACTCTTCTTCATTTTCATAGTATCTCCCCAACTTAATAAATTCGATTGTTATTTACGACCCCCCCCCCCTCAGTCTTACCCTCAATACGATCCCCCAGGTCGGGCGCGCCTGACCCCACGCTCAACCCTGCTCCTGACCCGGAGCCCCCCTCGCATATGTTTGGGCGGACAAAACGCGCTCTAAAGACAATGCCGTTTCGTTTGCGAATTGCGCGCAATTGAAAAATCACGCTCGAATTTGCTTCCGAAGGGTTATCGAACATGTTTTCTTTCCTTTTTTCATTTTTTCCTTAGAAGTGAAAGTAGTGAAGCTATCTTTTTCAACTTCAGAGATTGACAATCGTCGTTTATTTGTCTTCTCGTAAAAGTGCTGTTTAATACTTAATGTAGAAACACAGCTTTGCAGATGCCCCCTAAAAAGATTCCTAAATCAAAATTACATCCACTGGCGGCAGAGTTACCTCTGAAGACGATACTCTTGGATACGACCAACAAAAAGCAGTATTGCGTGGGTAAACAATTTGCCACTGGAGGATTTGGAAGGATTTATCTTTGTAACGAGGTAGGATCGTAGTTTAGACCTTTTGTTCTTTAAGACTTGCTTTTTCTTACTGATGTCATGAAGTCGAGATAAGCAGTTTTGACACTTGTTACAGTTTTTTTTATTGAGCTGATGTTTCGTTTGTTGAGTAGAATACACGAGTGTGTTTCCACTATTGTAAGAACGATTCGATTAAGGTTGGCTCAAAGAAAGAATTGGTTGTCAAAGTTGAACCATTTGGGAATGGTCCATTGTTTACGGAAGTGAATGTTTTTCTTCGAATTCTCAAGCCAGAGCAAATCGCAGACTTTATGAAAACTCGAAGTAAGTTAGATGGATCAGCTGAATTCTATATTTTCAAGTCCAGTGATTTCCTATCAGAGCTCAAGCGCTTGGGTGTACCGCCATTGATATCCTCTGGAATATATATGCACGGAAATGACAAGTTACGTTTCCTTGTAATGCCCAAATACGTCACTTCACTGGAAGCTATTCGAGAAAAGTCGAAAACTTTGTCCGCTGCCAACGTTTGGACAGTTGCTCGATGCATGCTGGAGAGCCTAGAGTACATTCACGAAAAGGTAAAGTCAGCAATTTTTTTATTGGTCTTCAAACTTTTGTTATAGAACTATGTCCATGCGGACATTAAAGCAGCAAATATTCTCCTTGAACGTGCGAATGATTTCTCTACGAGTGGTAAGTGTTTGTATATCTGCGTTTACTTTGGCTCATACTTTTATGTAGTTCTGGTGGATTATGGCCTAGCTCGGATGTCATCTAGCAATGAAGACAAGCCGGACAAAAAGAGAGGTATGTTTTCGTCTTATCGGTTTGAGCAAGCTATATCGGTAGAGTAAAAACAGTGAGTGCTTTCTGACGTTACAATGTGTTAGAGTGAGACCTTATGGTCATAGTTATTGAGCATATTGCACTCAATTCACAACAGATTGAATTTTTAGAGGCATTGTGTACTCTTTAGGATGCAATTCAACTGTTCCTTGGGCTGTTCAGTTTTTATCTTTTTTACTCTCGTAGCTCTCGCTCCACATTGATCTGGCTACGGCAGATTCCCGAGTCTCAGCCATTTGCAAATTTTCTCTCGTTTTCCCATCTTTTGTATGGTTTTAGTTATGTTCATTACAAGCGACGTGACTGAGTAGAATAGAAACGCGTGTAACGAAGAACTTTCAACATAGGCTATAGCCACAGCCAGTAACCATTATTCTTAAAAGGCAATGCTTCCTATTTAGCTCATAACGGCACTGCAATATTCACTTCGTGCGACGCGCACCGTGGATGTCAACCTTCGTACCGCGGAGATCTAGAAATCCTTGCATACAATTTGCTTTACTGGTTGAACGGCACTCTTCCGTGGGAAGTAGGTTCCTCAGCTTGACTTTGTGGATACAAGGCAAAGTTTATATTCAGAGTTTTGAAGCTGCTCCCGAGAAAGTTTATGAAATGAAGAAGAACTTTTTGAAAGATCTTTCTTCAAATCTAAGGAAGGCTCTTCAGGTGCTTTTGAATTTTGATTTCATTTTGTTGTATCAGAGATGATGTTGATAATGATGATGATAATGATGATATGGTTATTTATAGGATAACACTGAGTCAATCCCACCACTGCAGGAAATTTTCAATGCAGCGTCTAAAACTGGATACGATCAACAACTCAGTTTTCCGAAGCTCTATAAGGTTTACATAATTATATTTTTTTGCATTATGATAGGTAGATATCGAATAATTGTCTGCTTTCTATTTTATTCTAACACTGAGCATAATTGGATAAACGCAATTTTTGTCACGGATGATTGATTAAATTAGGGGTGATTCTTCTCCACATCTTAAAAAATATTCAACTCTTTGAAAATGTTTTGCACTTATTGAGTTTTTGACATGTTAATGACAGGAAGAGCATTATGAAGTCATTTTGAATATCGTCGAGACACTGCATACAGACTAGCACGGCGGAGCTGGGCTGACAGCAGATTGATCTGTTTTGTTAAGACCAGAATTTCGCTCGCACTTCGATATGCGTTTAAGTCATACAGATTATGCTTCAATCTGGGCGTAGAGCTCCGAAAAGTTGACGTTGGCCAATAAAGCAAATTTACAGGCTTTATCAACCAGTTATCGCATCAGAAGTGTTTTAAAGACATACCACGTTAAATGGCAAAGAATCGCCACCTTGTTTGATTAGTCTCAAAATTTGTCGAAAACTATATTGTAGCGGCATCGTATCTCTCAGAAAAATTGCTATCCTCTCTTTGTTCTGTCTATTTTAAAAGAAAATCTTCAAGATTGTGGATGATGCTCTAAAACGGGTATCCAAGAGTGGACAAAAACGAACGGCTGCTGAGGAAAATGCGGAGACGAAGAAGCACAAAGCTGATCGAGGCAAAGAAGGCGAGTAGTTGATGTCAGTACTTTTTTCTTAAGTTGTCTCTTACACGCCTGTTTTTCGTTTTATGTGCTCGAATAAAAATTCACATCTTGCTGAAGTGCTTTATTCAGCCAAGAACCGCGAGATAAGAAGATCAGAACGTGAAGAGCGAGAAGATGATAGTGGTGATAGTGCAGGAGATGCTACTGAGCAGTACCCTCAGGTATCTGTTTCCAAGAAGCGTATCATCGTGCCTCAACTCCATGTTTGAGACCAAGCGAAATGTGAGAACCAGGAAGCGGGACTTAGAAAAGAATGATGAGGATGTGGAAAGTGCCACAACGAGTAATGGAGGGGCAAGTGAGCGAATTTCTTGTTTCCCCTCACCTTTGCAATCCTTATCTGTGATAGTCCGGTCTTTGTAGCTTGCAAACGCATATGCTCAGACTTTTTGGTTAGCCGAAAATTATCCTGCTTTCCATGGTGTTTAACTTAACTATTTATCAGAGGCGAAGGTGAGGAAAATTCGCAAAGAGCCAGAACACGGCGGTGATTCCATCGCAAAAGACGTTGAAGAAAAGCAGCAAACAAAATCTCCTATTAGCAAGAGAGGTGGGGTTTTGTGTTAAAGCGGACCTTCAGTGCTTCCATGTTTAACTTCTGTTCTGCTTAGCTATCGTGATATCTTCTCCCACTCTCGTAGTAGCCGAGCAAAGAAAAAGGAAGTATACGAGGTAAACTTCAGAGTTTATCTTCATATGCTTATCACAGTCACTACACAATCCAAAGAATCTAGGACAACGAATGCAGAGCGGAATGCTGAAGCCATCTCATTGCCATCTGGGTCTCCCGCGTCACCACGTCGTAAGCAACATTGTTTGCTTGTTTTGATAGATTGGATGCGATATATGTGGTCAAGAATGTTTATTTGGTTGCTTTTATCAGGTTAGTATAGGAGGGAATATGAAAGAAACCTAAAATTTTACCGCTTTTGTTATAGCTTGATTTTCAAATTCGAAATTACGCTGTGGTAGAAGTGGGTAAGATCTTTAACTAGTGCTTAACTATACGCAAATTCAGAGGGAAGGAAATTACGCATCTGTGACTGCCTGGCTGCCTGTTTTTGCTGCTTTTGGTCCATTAAACAAACTTCATCATAATTGGCTTGATTGTGTAAGGAACATTTTGATTGCCATCCTTCTTCTAGAAAGGCCTATCCCGACGAAGAGGCGCCGCGTTTTGTGCACAAATGATCGACTACCGAGCAGACGATCGCCAAGGTGCTGCAAACCTTCGCTTCTTATTTTTTGTCTTTTAATTATTTTAAGGTTGCCTTCCGTGCAAATCATCCCAGGAGTTACAGTTACTAGATCGCCGATTTTGTCACCAATTGCAAACAGCACTAGGAAAAGTAATGAATTCACTGTCACTCCTCGTGGAAGCAATGGACTAAGTAAGTTTTGAGTAGCAAACGCGATTGCGCGAGGCATGCTCAAGGCCTTAGAATGCATAAAGACGCCAAAATAGGGACGATTTTGTTACTTATGAGAGAACGCAATATGTCGAATGCGGTCTCGACAGCTTAATTGTCACAAACTATGTGAATGGGGAACGTTTGCTGCAAAGGGTGCACATTTACACATGAAAATAGGGTAAATCACAGAGTGGAAGGCCCCAACCACTTGCTGCTTTCCTTCCTGTAGAGCCCTTTTCGCCGTTTTCGCGCTTTGCAGTGTGGATTCGGATTCAGCACATCGGATAGGCCAAGGTCTGCATAAGATCTCGAAATTTACCCTCTTGCTTGAACACTGCCTTTAAACGCAACAAATTCGTACATAAATTCCATACTTTAGAAGCGAAGAACGTCTCGTCAGAAGAAAAGCGTAGCCCCACTAAGCTGAGTAAGATACCCGGCATGCGAAACTTCCAACACGGTCAGGGTCCTGTTGTCATTAAGCAGGTACAATAAGTAGAGTATCATGAATTTTCTAGTTCTGAATTTTCCAGATTACCAAAAAGTATCAGAGAATTGCTCAGCAAAAGCGTGCTAGCCAATTGAATGGGCACGTATGATCTTGTTGAAGACCATGCTCTTTTCGCTTTTGAACTCAGGTCAACTGGAAATGATCACGTTCGCATTGACTCGCGATACCCTTCCACATCTTTTTTGACTGTTTGTTCTCATAATCAGTAACAGTGATGCAAAGTGCGTTGTAAATTTCCATTCCATTTTCTTTTGTCCATTTCAAGTATCACTTGTATGACTCATTTATTTGAGTATCTATTGAATAAATGTTGTAAATGATCAGAAATGAATGTTTCAACATTTTTGAACATCGCCCATTAGTTAAGGGCAGGTTCTTGTCTGTATATTAGGTTGTCCGGAAATTAATGTCCGTTCTGAATTCCAACCGCAATAAGTCATACATTTTTCACTCTTAAATATGCTTCAAAGTACCGTTTGATAGAGCAAAGCAAGCTCTACAGGATGGCGGTCTCGCTTTAGCAACAGCTCTGATCCACTTCGAGTTTTGAGCCAAAAGCTAAAATGATTCAACTGCCCGAAAAATTGGGAAAAATCATAACTCAATTCATAAGAGACCTAGAAAAATTGTAACTTGCTCACGTAAACACTATCCACATAACACATCTATGTAGCCGTTGCCGTATTTTTTCCTTTGTTAGAAATCAAGAAAACGGAAATTTTCATGCTTGACAAAGTGATGCTGTGCCGTCCCCTCATATGTAGATATATGCTACAAATCTGTAGAAGTACAAACGTGGACTTTCAGCTCTTTACAAGCTTTAGTTCTCGAGAAATTTGAATTTTAGCTTGGACCACCTGACTAATGAAGGCTATAATCGATATTTCTCGAGAACTAAAGCTTGTAAAGAGCTGAAAGTTCACGTTTGTACTTTTACAGATTTACAGATCTACTTATGTGGAGACGGCACAGCATCACTTTGGCAAAAGCATGAAAATTTCCGTTTTCTTGATTTCTAACAAAGGAAAAAATACGGCAACGGCGTACATAGATGTGTTATGTGGATAGTGTTTACGTGAGCAAGTTACAATTTTTCTAGGTCTCTTATGAATTGAGTTATGATTTTTCCCAATTTTTCGGGCAGTTGAATTATTTTAGCTTTTGGCTCGAAACTCGAAGTGGATCAGAGCTGTTGCTAAAGCGAGATCGCCATCTCGTAGAGCTTGCTTTGCTCTATCAAATGGTACTCTGAAGCCTATTTATTAGTGAAAAGTGTATGACTTACTGCGGTTGAAGTTCAAAACGGACATTAATTTCCGGACAACCTAATACCATTGCTTATCGCAATTTGCGTGAACAACGGCATGGGGCTTTTACACATGTTTGAGTTTTCTGCTTTGGAAGGGAATCTTTACTACTATAGCTTGCCAGCAGAAGTTTATTATCCCACAACTCTGGCTGAGTGCTTTTTACATTTTATGGAGGTATAGAAGTATAGGTCATGAGTAATTTCTTTTAAAGCCATGAGTACCTATAGTTCTTATCCATGTCCTGCTGGGATTAGGTTTGGATGAGGATCAAATATCATGCGAAGTTTTATCTAAATGCAGATGCTTCTACGGACATCAATTATAAGGTGACCGCACTTGAATAATTCAATATAGTCTGAGATTCAAAATCCGGGTCCTCCGCCTCGTTGGCCCCAAGGTCCTCCAGCTCGTCTGCCCCATCTTCCTCCAGGACCAAATCCGCCGAATCTTCCACCGAATCCTCCAAAGCCTCGTCCAAATCCACCGCAGCCACCAAAGCCGTATTCGAAAGCATAAGATGGTGATGCGAAAGAAGTGGCAATACAGGATGCTGCATTTGAAGTTCTCCAGTTCAACGTTTCGTACATTTCGCGCACCCTCTTTCTGCCTTCCGCTATTGTTATATTCTGAAACAGAAAATGATTATTCGCAAAGAAAGGATGGGAACAACATCGGACCCTGTCATTTTCGATATCGTTAACTTTCTCGAAAAAGTCTGCTAGTTTGACTAAGGCATTTCTCGCGTCTTCCTGCGCCTGCATTTTCAGCCGCTCCGTCTCATTTCGGTATTTCTCGTAATCATCCTGAAGTGAACTTATTTGGAAAATGATAGCTTACTGCGTGATTATACCTTCAAGCTGTATTTCTCAGCCCATTCCTCTAACTTCCCATCTAGAGCATCTCTTGTCAGAGATTGATCCTGGAAATTGGCTCGTACAGAAGAAAAATTGGCATCGAGTTTCAAGGCCAACAAATATGTCCTTGTAATCATACGCTGATTATATTCAGTAATTTTGACAATGGTGTAACTTCAATATGCTAATCTCTTCTGCCATTTCAGTGGCAACACATAATGGATTCATTGCAGCGGATGTAGTTTAAAGGGCAGTATCTATTATAGAGAGTTTTTATTTATTTCAAAAAAGGGAGGCGACGTTGAAAATCGGTTTCCAAGCTCAAGGGTAGATTTCTGACAGTGAATTTCGTATGATAGTTCCAAAGTTATGCAAACCCACAATGATATAAAGGTGTCCCAAAAGCATGTAAACAGTGTTTGATCGTTAATATCTCTCTTTCCAAGAATTCCTTTGCTTATATACCTTCAGGAACCAATTTGTAGAGCTGGCTCCAACTTAGATTTATAACATTGAGCGAACCACCAGTGGCCCTTCATCACTGTAGATTACGGTAGATCTTCAAGAAGGTTCTATTTTGCTTAAGAAGGCAAAAACAATCTGGAAGCCTTTACACCCGGCCAATTAGAGTCGCTAAAACCCAGTATAACTTTGCATTTCACCCCAATGCTTCCTTCATAACTTATGCCCGGTAAACCGCAATAGCTTTCTTTACGATGCCTCTTGCAATTGTGATCACACTATTTGGAAAGCTTTATAAGCTCAAATATAGTGGAGCAAAATCAGCGCGTAAAAATCTCTGATAAACACTTTTCAAAATTTCTGGAATTTTTTTTTGAAAAACGACTAATTTACAATGACGCTGGAGCCAAAAGTTTCTACCGTAATCCCACAGTGATGAAGGGCGATCGTTGGTTCGCTCCATACTATAAATCCAAGTTGAAGCCAGCTCTACAAAGTGGTTCCCGAAGGTAAGCAAAGAATTTCTTGGAAAGAGGGTACTAACGATCAAACAATGTTTACATGCTTTTGGGACACCCTGTATATCATTATGAGTTCGATAACTCACCATCATACAAATTTCACTGTCAGGAATTTATCCTTGAGCATGCAAACCGATTTAAAAGTCGCCTCTCTTTTCTTGAAATGAACAAAAGTCGCTATAATAGATGCTGCTCTTCAAACTACATCCACTGCAAATACCGCCTGCTTACCTTGGCGTTCTCGGGTGCGACATACATGCAACTTCTGCCTTTCTGTTCTTTTTTCCTTCCTACTGTATTTTGCCTGTGTTTGCTTATTCCGTTTATGCTTACTTCCGATAAATGTCGTAACTAAGCTAGAAATTCATCTTTGCATCCCCATCCTGCATTGCCAAAACATCCTTATTTTCTGTATGGTTTTGTAATTGTAGGTATCGGGCGGGACTTCGTAAAAATATTGAAAGCCAGACAGAGGGGACTTCATTCTCAGAAAAACTGCAGCCGTCTATACCATGTTCAGATCCGAAAGCGCAGTGTATGAACTAGTTGCGTCCACGACCGCCTTGCTTCTGCCGTCCGCCTTCGTCCGGCAGTAGAACTCACAGTTGAGTCACGTATTTCATGACTTTTCACACTATGGAGAGGCTTGTTGATGAGAGCGGGGCTGTGCACTTATCAAAACTCGATCACATGGATGCTGCCAAGCTCGGTAATTTTTTTTACAAAGTTACTTCCCATAAAACTCGAACCGTTGTTTGATTATTTACGAGTGAAAAACATTCGTTCGCACATTCATGACTCAATTAGACCAAAAAAATTCTACCTACTCTCCCCCCCTCCCCCCCCCCCCCGTTCCTCGCGCTACCCGCGGTCTCCGCATTCGCTACTCTGTTAGAGGCAGTGGATCGGCAAAATGGACCCTTCTCGGACTTTGGATGATGTCAGCTAGTAACCCCTCCCCCTCCAATTAGACCGTAGCCCAAACCTCACCTGCCAGTTCATGCGCTAAGCTCTAAAAAATGCACTTCTTCGGCCCCGCTCATTTCCGTTGAGTGGGCGGGGCTGGTGGGTTTTGCGCGCATTTTTACTTGAATTGGTGGCTGGGCTACAGTGTACAGTTAATTTCGACCCGCTTTAGGCGGAAATTGGACTGGCGGGAGTCCACTTCGCAACAGCTCGCGCCGTTTCGCAGCTACAGTATATCCTATCGTGTTGGGAACCCATGTCTGCGTCTCTTCAATCTTCTTAGTCTTTGCTTGGCAAAATGCCAGCGCTACGCGCTCGCGAAGCCTCCAGCGATGCGCATGCGCTGTTCCACGTAGAATGTCTCGCCTGATTCGGGATGAAACCGACTGTACTGGGGAGTCTATCACCTAACACCACCAAAATCCGAGAAGGATTCATTTTGCCAATCCACTGCCTTTAACATTGCGAGCACTTACATTCAATGATTCTATCAGAGGGCACAATGACATAGCCGTCTCATTTGGCAAGTATCTGTTTATTGATTCAACTTACTTCATGAGTATACGTATTATTTCTTGTTCTCTAAACGCGAGTAGCCCGAATCTGCCGAGTCATGAAGTCTGAGGACCAAAGGATGACACTATGCTTCACCGAAGATAATCGTAGGGAGAGCAACCGTTTCGCGAGGCACAGCGATGTTTGCCCAGCTGCTCGCATATGACGAATCATAAAAGTCCGTTTCGTACTCGTGAAAGATATAGGTTTTTTTTCGACACACGAATATGTTGTAAATGGTGGAGGCCTCTTTCGTGATCCGCTGTTTCCTCTTTAGTCATGAAGGTGACTCTCGCCGATCTGCTCCACTGCAAATTACAGGAGAAGTGCGGTCACACAAAGCGACCGGTTAAGGTCTACTGCCGGAGTGAGGCGCAAAACCTAGGGGCGCGAACACGGTTATATTAGCCGCAGAGCGCAGGCGCAGGGTTCACAGTGGTGCGGCTACGCACCCGACGCTTTCACTATCGCTTAATCGTTACTGCTTTTGCGCATTCGTCCGACCGTAGATACGTCAGAATGTTCGTATATGGTTCAAGAATTCGTAAATTTGGTCACATTCCGGAATATAACGAAACTATCATTTGCAAGAAAACTTACAGTAATGATGTCGAAGAATGCTACTCGAGTGCTGTAAGATGCGTCACGAAGAAATGGGAAAACTGGGTTAGCTGCACAGCCAAATCCCTGCAGAATTCACATCATAAGACGTTATCGATGAAAGGAGTTATTGGCTAACCCATCCAAATGCTGCTATACAAGATATCGATGAAGCTAATATTGTTGCTAGCAGCACTTTCATCCTAGAGTTTATGTAAAATAATTACGGTATTCAATCTACATATAAGGAATTTAGGGCAAGCTGACGGCTGTATGTATATTTAATGCGTATGAAGAGATATTTCTATGCAAATCGTTCGCAAACAAAAAGAGGTGTTGGATGGCTTCCAAATACTCCCGTTATAAACTTATAAGGGAAGCATGTTTAGATGAAGTGGTATCTTAGATGGGATGTATACAAAGCATAAAACCCTAATTTTAAATCTGCCTTCCTATCTGCGGAACGTGGACGATGAGTTATGAGCTTTTATTGGGCAAAAAAGTAAATGCACATCTAGGATTAAATGAGTCGTTAAGATCTTTCTAGCCCTTCCTAATCTTCATAAATAAAGCAGGCAATGTAATATATATTTTATACAAGTGTATAAATGCTCCTATAATTAGCATTGTTCCATCAAAGCGCTAGAAAAAATATCACAAGAAGTTGTGCTTTACTTGCACTTATAATTTTTCGCTTCTCAAAGCGTTCCGCAAATAATTAAGGGAATGGTTCAACAGCGGTTAATATAAATCCATTTTCATTGTGAATGATGAAAATCAGTAGCACAAAAGGCCCGGAATCGTCTCAAAAAGTAGCCTAGGACATTCTTCGGGGTCGAAAAACACCTGTACAAAGTTTCAGCTTCAATGTTCACAAAAGGAGCCTGTAAAACATTTATTTACGAAGCAAGAACTTAGACTTACTTAGTTATATGTTCATAGATTCACTACTAAATAGCTTGAAAACGCTTTGTTTCCTGTCTTCCAAGTAGTAAGATTCAAGGTCAACTCATGTAATTAGTTTCAATAGACTATACAGTTGGGCATCACTCAATTCCCAAAAGGAAACTGCCAACAGAAAATTGCAGATAAATCGAAAACAATCATTATTTGGAACTATCGTCGAAAAAAAAACGATCGACGAACTCAGAGTGCATTAGCTCAATTTGATGTCCAAACCAAACTCAAGGGCTAATCATTGCGAAATAGAAAATTAAATAGAAATCTACTGGGCTTGTTCGATCGCTCACTGGCTTTACAACGAAACGCATATGCTCTATGAAATGGTTTTTCTGAATCAGCATGCCAACGTATCGTCCCCTCCACAGCTCGTGCTACCCTTGTGGCGTCGCGGACGTGCCTTGTGTGACTAACACCCATGTTGGCGTGGCCAAAATGTTCTGCCAACATGTTGTGGCATGTTGCAAACATGTTGTTGCCACGTTGCCCACATGTTAGCCACACGTGGCAGGTCTGAGACCAGGGTCAAGCGTGGGGTGCGGCACGCCACACCTGGGGGGTCGTATTGAGGAGTCAAAAGGGGAGGGGGTCGTATTTGGGTTATCTGATAATAGTGATAACATGATATTCGTATCATATCCATAATTAGCATGTCAATTAACCCCTGTAGACAAAGTGTGAGCGAATTCTGAAGATTCAAGATACTAGGCTACCTAAGTGAAATGGTCAAATTCCAACATGGTTAACTTTGTTTCAAAGGTGAATTAGCTATCCGTTTTTGGGCTCAAGACAAAGCACTACTCCTTCTTTGCCCACCTCAGGAATCCCGCTTCAGAAAACCTGCAAACTGTGGAATTAGAACCCAACCAAAATCTCGTTTTTCCCATTTTTCGCTTGATCTCTGTGCTTTCACCAAATATTACTTAGAGCTAAGAAGACAAATCAGGCTCTAAACACTTCTATGGAATCTACAAGGTTTAGGCTATCGATTCATATAAATACTGTCCGCTAAAAATGTTTTTTTAATATAGTTAATGGGGTGCGGCACACCCCCTTGAAAGCTGCGGCTGCCGCAGCTTTTAAGGGGGTGTGCCGCACCCTCTTAACTTGCCTTCAAAATCCAGAAAGCGCTCCATTGATGGTATGAATATTGAGCACATAGCTTCTTCTTGCTACATTGGAAACTTGGAGCCGAACGCCCCACCCATAAGAAAATTATGGCCCTTTCAATATGCCCATTCAGATCAAAATCAGCCGTCAAATTACGTGTGATTGTAAAGTGCAGTCACAGAAAATCGGGCGTACAGCTCTCAGAAATCTGAAAACTCTCTAAAAAAAGATGGTGTCCTCCAGAATGTCACACTTTGAATTCCAGAGGTTGAAAGGAGGAAGAAGGGGTCGTTTGAGGGCTTTCATGGGAGGGGGAAGGGGTTTTCGAAAGACTTGTGCCTGACCTCTTTCTCAACTCTGGTAATGCTATCTTGGGTACATAGTTCAGGGGGGGGGGGGTCTTATTAAAACAGCAATCAGGGGGGGGGGGGGTCGTAACCAGCGATCGTGTGCCACACCCCTTGCTTGACCCTGTCTGAGACGCAGACCAAGGGTAGCACGAGCTGTGGAGGAGACGATACAAGTCGCAACCAGGGTTGAGCGTGGGGTCAGGCGCGCCCGACCTGGGGGATCGTATTGTGGGTAAGACTGAGGGGGGGGGGAGGGGGTCGTAATCAAGAATCGAATTCATTAAGTTGGAGAGATACTGTGAAGGTGAAGAAGAAATGCGCTAGTCCGGTGGATATCGCGACCACATGAAGGAATGACGGTCATAAACAGCACACTGTTGTTTCCACAATGGAAGTTTCAGCCAAAATTCAAATCTTCTTCTCTTTTATTGACATATGAGGTAAACAGGGAAGCTTGCTGTGTGAAATGGGTATCATTTCCATAATCAGCATGTCAAATTACCTCTATTCGCTCTACAAACCATTACCTATTGCAGTTTCTAGTGTTTCTTAACGCCTAAAAAGCGTGATTTTCAAACGTGATCAACTTGGTTTCAGAAGTGAGAAAAGTCAGCTTTTGTATACTCATAACAAAGTAATGTTCTCTACAAGTCTATGCTACAAATCGGACTTCATTTCGCTCTCAAACAGCGATGTAAGAAGTGCTGCCAAAATTCCAACCGGCGCGTTTTTCACGTTGAGTGCTTCAACTTCTCGGATTAGCACAAGGCCGAAACAAGTCGAATCAAGCTCAAACACTTAATGTGGAATCTTCAAGGATTGAGCTAGCGAATCACATAAGACTTGGATAGAAAAGCTTTCTCGGAAATAAAGTTAATGGGGTCAGGCGCAACCCTTCAAAAGGTCAGGCCGCCTGAGCTTTTGAGGGGTTGCGCCTGACCCTCTTAACTTGCCTTCAGCATTCAAAAATCGCCCCTTTTTTGACATAAGTATTGAGCGCAAAGCCTCTTCTTGCTATATTGAAAATTTGAAGCCAAACACACCACCCCTGTGAAAATTGTAGCTCTGAAAAGAGGACTATCCAGATTTAAAACTTGCCGCCAAGGTCGGGCCTACATTTCAAAAAATAGAAACTTGCAGTGAAGGCTGGTCATCTTCAAAATATAACACCCTAAGGACTTGAAGGTGAAGCGGAGGGTCGTTTCGGGGCTTTCACAGGGGGGGGGGGGGTTGTTTTTGAAGGACTTGTGCCTGACCTCTCGCTCAACCTTGGTCGCAACAAGACCCAGTGACTAGGACTCTCATCGCTTAGGAGCCCTTTACATTTTCTGAAGATTCTGCTCAGTCTCTAGGGAATATAAATATTGATTGCGATCACGGAATCAATTCAAAGTTGAGATGACACAATGAGCAAAACAGATACGTGGTCACGTTTGTATAAATGATGAGATTTTGGGATTATTTGGTGAAATATTTGTTGCAGAGAGGGTCAGTACATAGCCAGCTGAGTGAGTCGTACATCTTTCATTTCTTATTAGGAGGAAAGAGAGGTTTTAGCAGAAGGTTCGATTCTGCAGTTTTTTGAACTTGTGAAGTTTAGTTAGAAGTGAAAGCGTGAAAACATTAGCAAAACTACAATAAATACTCAAAGTTGTCACTGAATATTATTTGCAAGCAAAAGATTCTAGGGGACTTTGTGCTTTTCGATGTCCACACCCACATGACTATTCCAATGGCGAAGGCAGGTGTGTAATCTCAAAAAAAGGAAAAAAATGCCAACGCTTCCTGCTTTACAGTCGAGACCTTTGTTTTTGAGAAGACAGATCATGAAAAAGTTTAGATTGTTTGTGCAAAGAGGAACTCATATCATTATGCGCAACATATCGGTATTCACGATCCAAAACAAAAGAAAATGCGAAGGATTACTGGAAAAGCTCTACTAGATGCACGCGTTACACTCTTGCATCGATTTCTCATTCTCGCTTCCATCGATTCTTCGACTGCTCTTGGTTTTTCATTTCGTTCTAAGGCTAGTTTTATTTAGATTGCAGATCGTTAATTGTGCATCTTTTATGCCACTGTTCATTCGAAGTTTTTTCGTGCAAAAACTTAGGAAAGGTACTTGCAGAGAGAGTTAATTTTTTTGGCGTGAAACCGCCTCCGTTCGAGATTCTGCTCACTTCTTCCATCTCGCCTGTTCCTAATTCGAAGTGTTTCATAAGTAACATCCAATAACGGTTTCAGGATTTCCGTGCAGGAGGGAGAGGAGGCAAGGGAAGCTCCCAATTTTTATAAGGGCTATAAATACCTAGAAATTTAAAAAAATCATTTCAATGGTTTATAAAGTAAAAATAAGTCACGCATTTTTAGATGTGAACAATTTCAAAAATGTCGCGATCCATTCTCGCGGGGGGGGGGCGCTCGTTACGTGCGGGCTGCCCATTGGAAAACGTCGCGATGCGGCAGCGGGCGGGGAGAAGTAGTGCAGCAAAATTGTCAAATTTATACACCTAGATCATCCATGCTTTTTCTATACTGTTAGTCTTTTACATTCAACAGTTTGTGTCTTTTTTGTTCTCTAAAGTGCTAATTTTACAAGTTTTGTGGGGTAACTTCGATTAAATGAGCAAAACTAATATGGGAATAGTCTGTGAACCTCAACAAAGCAGGGATTGAGAAAGTGTGTGCTGAAAATCATGCTAGCCGAATTTCCTGAGTGCAGTCACTGGCAGCCTCTCAGATAATCGCCGGGGGCAGGCGGCCATGCGATTTTTGGGCAAGC